GTTAATAATATATGTATTCCAATTTCTTTACTGTCTGGATCATGATGATTGTAATAGAGAAAATAATTTATTGTCGATCGAATACGATTTATATCGACAAGTAATAAACCATAAAAAGAATATGTTGATTAATGCATTCATCGACTTGACATTTGAGGTCGTTTCAAGATGAGTTATAATAGATACCCATACCCTTTTTATCAATTCGAGTTGTTAAACTAATTGATGAACTACTTATTTTAATATAAATCAAACGTGTTTCCATTTTTAGATTAGAATAAAATTAAGTGAGAACAATTTTCAGTACAGTATATTCCTTGATTGCATAATACAAAATATGGGATAAATGTTCGTAAATATGTTGATAAATAAAACTCAAATTAAGCAAGTAAAAAATTATATTCAAATTCGTAGAATAATCCATTGATATTAAATACTTTACCTAATATGTGATCAAATTTAATATATTTCATTAATAAGTATTGAACATTATTTAATAAAGGATACCGGTGCAGTTTAAGTGTATGTATAGGCATTCATGAAACTAGCAACGAAATTCACATCCACAACCTTATCTTTTTTTTCTTTATACGGTTACTTGATTTCATTCTTCCTCCAAATGTCTATATGATTATAAATGCTGTTACAACAATCAAACTAAGAAAAATCATGATTAGATGGCTTTATTTTGATTATAAAACTTTTGAAAGTTTCCATTGCTGATACATGTACAAACTTTGTTGGTGTTTCATGAATTGTCCAAAATTTAATAACAACAAGTTTTGAAGGAGAAAATTCAACTTCGATATACCTATCGTTCGAAAGAACGTCTAAAACTGCTGTCAATAGTAAACGTCCAAATGCAAAAAGTCATGAACGACTGAATGAGATATGACAAGAGAATACTCATACTTCAAAATGTCCGATGAAAAAAAGTTTTTCTCTGGCTAACAAACAATGGTAAGAGAAAGAGAAACATCACATGTTGTTTGTCTCAGAATTAAATATCATTGACAATGTCATATTGGACCAGTCCGAGCATTGTCGAGACGATATATATCAATAACCGTATCAATTGATTATGGTGTTATTTATCTCTTTTCATTCGAATTATTTGTGTGAATTAATCGACGATCTACCGAAAAACTTGCTTTCGCTCTTGAAACTTTAGGTAAAGACACAATCCTGCAGATCGATCACTTAGTATATATGCCTTCAAACACTTTAAATATGTATATTCGAAACTTTTCTGAATACGTTTTGAATATAATGTGTACATTTTTGACACAATGACTCGTGATTTTCTCGTTCGACTTGTGATTACATCTATGAGACTTAGTAGGAGAGATACTGCACGAAACAGTAAATATTTACTTGGTTTTAGTCCTGCATAATTTATGAATGAATGATGCATTCAAAATGAATTGATTTTTTGTTAGAAAACAAGCATCTAGGATAGTCGCACATATTCTTATCAAGATATTTCTATTAACACTTCACTTTGATAATAGTAATGTTTAGTAGAAAAGAATTACACTTAAAAATTCAATCTAATTCATTGAGTTCTATTCCAAGTTCTTCCGAAAGACGTTCAATATTCCTTTCCATACTTCGTAGTTTATAATGCGAGGAAGTCAAGCATTTTCTGTAAATAGCTAATGCTTGCTGATAGTAATTAAGTGCCAACGTAGATTTATGAAGACTTTCGTAAATCTGACCTATGGTTGATAAACTATTGCCAATATCCACATGATCTGGTGGAAGCACTTTGAGACGCATCAGGACACAATTCTGTTCATACAAGAGAGAGTGATCATGTTGGTTTCTGCTTCTTTGTACTTGTGACAACCATTTAATTACGTTAGTGATGGAGAGATCTTTTGAAGGTGAACTGGCTTCAACAACCAATAACCATCTATCCAAATATTTAATAGCAAGATCGAACTGGGACTCTCTATCGAGATTAGCAACGATCCAAGAGAGGCAAGTAGCAATTTCACGATGATTATTGGGGTAGTGTTCTTCCAATATGATTAATGCTTGTTGATAATAATCCAGAGATTCATCATATTTTGTTTGCTGAAACAGAGTATTACCTATGTTCTTGAGATTAGTAGCAATGCTGAATTGTTCACTGGGTGGGCTGCTTTTGAGAATTGCTAATGCTTGTTGCTGAAAGTCGAGTGCCTCCTCATATTTTCGTTGATCTTTGAAATTTTCAGCTATATTATTCAAACAGGTAGTAATCTCCGAATGATTCGATGAATCCTTCTTGTAAAACGTTAGCGCTCGACCATAAAAGTCAAGAGCTTCATCATATTTTTCTTGATCACTCAACAGATTACCAATATAAATCAAACATTGAGCAAGGTTTCTATGACCTGATGGATAACATTGCTCGTAAATTATCATCGCTCGTTGACAGAAATCGAGGGCTTCATCATACTTTCCTTCTATATACAGGATGATACCGATGCATCTTAGATTTTCAGCAACATCAATATGACCTGATGGATAGCACTTTTCAAGGACTGTTAGAGCTCGTTGATAGTAATCGACAGCTATATTGTATTTTTTTTGATCAATGTAAATGTGACCGATGCGATTCAGACTATTTGCAATTTTCTCATGAAAAGACGAATACTTCTCCTCTCGAATTCTTAATGCTCTCTGTTGAAATTCGACAGCTTCTTCGTAGTTTCCTTGATTACTTAGGACATTAGCGATGTCTATCAGGGTACTTGTAATGCTATCATGATTGGCTCCATCGAATTTCTCTCGGATTGTTAATGCTCGTTGATAGTAGTTGAGAGCTTCGCCGTACTGTTCTCGTGCATGAAGGACATTCCCAATATTGCTAAGAACGGTAGCAATGCCAGTATAACCAAGTGGATAGTTTTTCTCTCGAATAGTTAATGATTGTTGGTAAAAATCAATAGCTTCATCATATTTTTCTTGACTGTATAGGACATTTCCAATAGAGTTCAGACTATTCGTAACGTCGACACTAGGCAATTCGTTATATTTTTCTCGAATAGCCAATGCTTTTTTATGAACTTGAAGAGCTTCATTGTACTTCTTTAGTTTATATAGCGTGTTACCAATAGAATTAAAAGTATGAGAAATTTCGATGTGACAATCAGAATAGAAATTCTCCTGCATTGAAAGTGCCCGTCGATAATAGTCAATAGCTGCATCATACTTGCCTTCATCGTACACAACATGACCAATACGCTTGATGGTATTAGCTATGATGATACTGTCTACTGGATAGTATTTCTCTTGTATTTCTAATGCTTTTTGATGATATACAATCGCTTCATCGAATTTTTGTTGGTGACGAAATGTTGTCCCAATATTATTGAATGTTGGCGCAATGTCTACATGCCCATTCGGATAACACTTTTCTTGTAGTTCAAGTGCACGTTGATAAAACTCCAAGCCTTCATCGTATTTTTTCTGTTCAATGAGAACGTTACCAATGTAATTGAGACTCTTGGCAATCTCACTACGGCATGATTCACGATATTTTTCCTGTATTTTCAGTGCTTGCTGATGATAATCAAGAGCTGCATCATACTTTTCTTGTTTGCATAATATAATTCCGATGTTGTTCATATAAAAAGCAATCGAAGAATGATCAGAGGGAGTGTGTTTTTCGATAGTTACGAGTGCTCTTTGATGAAGATCAATAGCTTCATTGTATTTCCCTTGCTCATATAAGATGTTACCAATATTGTTCAGACTCGAAGCTATTGAGGCATGACCCGAAGGATAATAGTTCTCTTGAATTTTGAGTGCACGTTGATGAAACATTAAGGCTTCATCGTACTTTTCCTGTTTTTTGAAAACGTTACCAATATAATTGAGACTGTTGGCAATCTCACTACGACATGATTCACGATATTTTTCCTGTATTTCCAGCGCTTGCTGATGATAACCAAGAGCTTCATCATACTTTTCTTGTTTGCATAAAATAATCCCGATGTTGTTCATATAAAAAGCAATCGAAGAATGATCAGATGGAGTGTGTTTTTCGATAGTTACGAGTGCTCTTTGATGAAAATCAACAGCTTCATTATATTTTCCTTGTTCATATAAGATGTTACCAATATTGTTCAGACTCGAAGCTATTGAGGCATGACTCGAAGGATAATAGCTCTGTTGCAACGTTAATGCTCGTTGACAATACTGTAGAGCTTCATCATATTTCAATTGACGAAGTAGTACATCACAGATGCAATTGAAAATCTCACTGATGCTTGCATCATAAGATGGATAATATTTCTCTTGTAGTGCTAGTGCTTGTTGATGGAAATCAAGAGCTTTATCATACTCTCCTAGTTCCTTTTGTACATAGCCAATGTTATTTAAAATACAAATAATGTCATCATGACCAGGCATATAATATTTTTGCAAAATTTCTAGCGCTTGTGTATAAAATGCCAGAGCTTCAGGGTATTTTGCTTGTCGATAGTAAACATTTCCTATTCTATTGAGACTAAAGGCAATCTCGACATGACCGGATGGATAATACTTTTGCAGCATTGTCATAGCTTGTTCATAAATCTTTAGAGCTTCAGAATGCTTGCCTTCAAGGTAGAGAATCCGACCGATATTGTCAAGGTTCCAGGCAATATACACATGATCATTTGGATAATATCTTGTATAGATTGACATTGCTTGCTTACAGAGGTCGAGGGCTGCATCATAGTTGTTTTGATATATAAGAAAGTGCCCTACGTATAGAAAACTATGAGCAATATCTATATGAGAACATTGATAATATTCTTTGAGCATTGTTATCGATTGTTGATAAAAGATAAGTGCTTCGTCATATTTTTCTTGACGCCAGAGAATCTTCCCCAAGCCACGAAGGCTAGTAGCAGCGAGAACATTACTACTCCGGTTAATCTTGATTGCTTTTAGCCAGTCAGTTCCCTGTATGTTTCGACATATTTCTATCAAATGTCTTTCGATCGATGTTTTGCCGACGAGTTCTATTTTGTTTGTCGTATATTTCGATGGAAATCGATAGGAAATTCGTCGGAACTTCGTAATACTGTACCATCGAGAAATTCGTCGAAATCGAGTAACACAGTACCATCGAGAACATTGTTTAAAGGTTCTGCCTAAATTCGATGAAAATGGTGAGAAAGACGTGCAAATAGGACTCAGTAGACAATTAAGTTGGTAATTCGGTGAAGAGAACAAATTGTCCGTGGCAGATGAATAATTTAGCTCGAGTATTGTCAATACTTTTCTATAATAATCTTGAGCTTCTTCGTACTTTCCTTCTAGATAGAGAATTTCACCAATATCGAATAGTATATCAGCTAACTCCTTGATCCGTATTGGTTTGACATTCATGATTCGATCATAAGCACGATCATAACATTTTCTTGCTTCATTCCATTCTCCTTTCCATTGAAGAACTTCACCAAGACTACGTTCAATCTTTGCAAGATCTTCGTTGTTGTTATTCCAATTGTTCAATAAAATTTCAAAGAAATGTTGTGATTGAGTCCATTGACCTATGTCACACATCAAACGTCCAAAGAGAATTTTGATACTGAGATCTTCTATTTGACGACGTGAGTCGTTGATATATTTTTCTTTGATAATTTGTCCATCATTCGATGCACTCATTTCGATAAAATAAATTTCGTCTTCCGTTCTCACATTTTCCAATCGATAAGTGGCAGTGGAATTGAAGAGAATTTCTTGTTGTTCTTCACATGAATTAGTAACAACAACACTGTTGTTTAGATGTTGTAAATCGCATTGAATCTTTAGAAGAACAGAACTGAGACCAGTTTGTTTCGAAGGTTTCATCGCTTGATTCAATGCAGTTGAACGAAAAGTATTCGCTGTGAAAAATCCAGAGATTGAAACCAATTTACCTTCGTTCTCTTTGAATTTCTCGATTTGATCCTTTGGCATTTTTATGCCTTGATAGACAATTAATATTTTTCGATCAAAATGAACCATCTTTTGATGTTCTTGAACGAAACTTTCTATCAGATCTTTCATAAAATACCGCAATGTGTAGAGCTGATCGAAATCTTTGGTTCGCAATGCTTTGTTAATGATTTTGTAGAGAAAAGATTTTTTCAAATACCATTGAAGAGCTTCATCTGATCGATATTCATTTTTAAACTTCTCGATTTCTTCTATTTTTTTGGTATTGTCTCGATAGTATGAACGAAATGCATTGATCATTTCTTGTTTAGCTTCTTCATTGTATGGTAACTGAAAGAGAACTTCATGATAAAGCTGAAACCAAAGAAGATCAGCAGTTTGTTTTGATAGATCTTTTGTTAAATGTTCATCTTGATCGAAGAAGCTAAATATTTTTAAGTGTCGATCAAGAAAATCAACTTGTTCCTGCATTGATAAACATAATAGATCGAGTTCATCATAGATTCCAATCAGTTTTGAATGTTCAAAAATAAAATTTTGATGATCAACTCGCTTCCAGTTGAAGATAAAGATGCTATCAATTTGAGGTAGAGTCACAATATGAGGTAATATTTGTAATGCATCAAAAATAGAAGAGATGAAAAAGATTTTTTCATTCTGAATTGATTGTATGAAATTGATGCAAGTTTCAAGTTCAGTGTGATATACGACATAATCATTGATTTGACGTAGTCTTTGCTTTGTTTGTTCTGTATGATAATTAGATTCCATCTTTGAATAGAACCAAATGAGAGTAATGTCTTCTTTGTTGTTTGTTCTATTCACCATTTCCAATGAATTTTCGAGAACAATAGCTTGTGTAGCCATTAATGATAAAAGTAATAAAGTTTCTATAGAAAACAATCGAATATAAACCTTGCAATAATGAAAAAAAAAGCTGGAAATTTTCAAGAAACAAGAAATATGTGAATGTTTAAGCCACTTATGATCCCATTCTTATCGAAATGTTTAATTCAACTCTCAGTGACTTTTGACTCGGTATATTCTCTTATATTACAAAATACGTAGTTCTGTTCAGAGAAAAAATGACAGTCGAATAGGACGTTGTTAAAGAAATAATCGATGGAACCCGTTGTTCCGGACGCTTGACGAAAGACTTAATGTATGATTCTTCATTTTGCGATATATAATCGGAGAAAAAGAAAACACTTTTTGTTGTTCCGATAAATGTCTTATTATCATGATATAAAGTTAGCTATTAGAAAAGTGTCTAAATAGTATGCCTGAGAATGCGATTATAGTATTGAGTCAACCTTCTAGACAAGTAATTTTATAATGACACCATATTCAACAAAACTAATAGGAAAGATTTTTGTTCAAGAGTATATATTTGACCAACAACAACTAAGAAGAACAAGTATCGATGTATGATAATCAGAGACTCAAGCATATTTCAAAATAAGTTTAAGAATTTCTTTAAGACTTTAATTTTTTAGTAAGAATATTGGAGATTTCGAAGTTGCAATGTACAGGACTCGCATCGCAAAAAAATAAATATCGATTCTTACTTATGTAAGAATGACTAAGCAAAAGAAAAACAAGTAATTACTGTCCTTTTTTCATGTAACTCTACTTACCACTTAAAATATGATTAGTAGAATGAGTGAGTATATTTATATATGCTTCCTGATCGACAATGTGACGTATGTATCCTTATAAAGAAGTAACGGAGGTTTTTTCCAACTTGCAATATGCTTACGTATACAAAGCAAATATCTTTTCTCTCACAATGTGATGAGACTACGTAATAAGAGTGCGTCACACTATTGATCCTGTTCTGTAAGTGCATAACATTACTTCTCTTTCGCCTTCTCTTATTCATTTTCTACCTTTATGTACAGCATAGTTTTCTTCTAACGTATTGCGATGTATATTTGTGAGCAACAAATTTCTTTCGAAAGTTTTTCAAAAAAATAACTTTACGTATTTCAAATTTGAGTAACGAATTAGACAGACACAAATAGTAGAATTACACATAGTTTGTTTGAAAAAATGCTATTTATGAATCAGTTTAATTTTGTTTTGAAAATTTGGTTAATTACTTCATATTCAGTCTGAGTATATGTTTAGTATAAAACAAAAAAAATTTAACATAAGTTACTTTAGATTTCAATTAATTTTGCATACAGCACTAGTTAATTGTTGTACAACAATAAAATGATGATGAACATTTAATACTATCTTAAGTTTGGTAAAAAAAAAAGAAAAATAGTAAATTTAATTACATTTTCTCGCTTTATTTCTATTTATGAACGAAGTTCTCCAACTAATGAATCACTTTTGAGTCAAGGTTATGTGCATTATGTGGAACTCAATAAGCTATGAATATCATGGACAGAATTCATGCACTTAGCCGATTGTAGAGGTTACAACAGCATATGAGAACTGGACGGTTGCTTCCGGGTGTGGATGTGGGGCATGAGTGTGCTTGTCTTGATCTTCTCTTCATTCAGACCGATAACTTTTCCTATATTCATGTAAGCAACTGTCGTGCAAACTACTATCTTAGATTCGCCCATAGATCTTCGGTTTTTGGATCATTTATTTCACTTTGTGTAAAAGCTAAGTGTGAAGTACGTACTCAAGACTTAATATTAAACTTTCAAATTCGGTGCATACCTACTAACTATATTATACTTAAAGGACGCAGTAGATAAATATTTTTAAAATACATATCGTGACATAAAGATTCGTCTGATAATTTTCTAAACTATATGATTCATGTTGAGTTTTTTCTAGTATTTATGTTTTAGGATAAAAGTTCAAGAGATCTTTGAACGAGATCTATTTAAATATAGCTCTAAAAGATAATCAGTTGAAGGTTTTAGATATGTGTCGAGGTATTCAAATTTAGAATCACTATAAAATCATGTATTCGAAAATTATCCTTTTACATTGTTTAGTCTCTTTCATCTATTATAAACGTTCGATAGAATCGATGAGATTTGATTGATACTCTCCATTGGGGTTCATACAAATAAATTTTTCTCCTTTAATTATGATTCTTGTGCTGAACTTTTTGTCCATCGTAGGATCTGACGAAAGCAATAGTATGAAGAAATTCCAATATAAAATTTATAGCGTTTACAAAGTTCAAATCAACTGTGTAGAATCATCAATAAATGTTTTCAATATTGTGTTTATCTGAATCCAATAACAATTGTTGATGTTTATTCAAAAAAATGTATTTGTAAAGAACATTCTGCGCAAGACACTCATTTAAAATACGTAGTTAATGAAAAAAGTTGTTTATGGACGAAACATTTTAGAAAAGAACTTTACCGAATAAAGAATGCTTTTCAACAAAAAAAATATTAAAACAAGCACTCTATAGTATAATCCGATTAGATTCTGTCAGAATACTCTATATGTTCTTCTAAAATAACTACCATCTTTATAGCTTCGAATGATACTAAGCATCTTTTTCTTGGATTTTTATTTTTTACAGACAGATGTTGGGATAAGAGAATCATCGATAGGTATCTACTCTTTCTTTTAAGCATATTGACAATCAAAAAAAAAAATGCATGATTTTTATGAGTTTTCTATACTTTGATATAGTGTCGTTGAAGTGAAATAATCATTGATTGTAGTGTATGTAGAATTTGAATACATGCATAAACACTCTTATTGCATCGTATTCTCTCGATTTAGATATCTCAATATTATAATGGTATATCTCCGTGACCATAAAGGGAACAATAAGATTCAATGTGGAGGAATTTAAAGTGAGATTGAGAGCCTACATAACCTTCATGCACGAAGATAGTATATGAGCTTTACCTTTTTATAACTCATCTTATTTATTTGTACTAAATGCAAAGATATACAGTTGTCATCAAGTATATGTAGACCACAACCTTCCTTAAAATATAGCCTGTACTACTAGACAGTAGTGCATTGTGTGATCGTCAGAATCACGATCATAAATCATAGTAACATTAAAAATCTCACACATTTTCTAGGAAATTTTCTGGTTCAGATATAAATTAGAAAAAAATTTGACCGTTCATATCTTACTTGTAACAAGAATAACAAACAATGTTACAAAGATAGAACAATCGAACATCAAACATATTTAAACATGAATCGTTTGTTCCCATACTTTGACTACAAATAAATCATGATTGACCCTTGATTGCAAGCAGTTTTTTCTTCAGATGAGGATATTTCAGCAATAGTAATAAGTTTCATAGTTTCTGACCTTTAATTCCATTAGATTCTCAGTTGTAATCAAATTTCTCTCTAAAGATGTCTTGATTATAGTCATTAGTTACTGCGAGAATCTATGCGAAGACCGTTGTGGATAATGGAAATACCTCTGTGTGACTCAGGATCAAAGCAGAGTGGAATCTTCTACTTTTAACACAGTAAAGATATGGAGAGGTTTATTTGTCTATAAAATAATGACAAACCATAAAAGGTTCAAAAAAAGTATATTTTACTTTCTATTTAAAGTGAGATTTCTACATTATTATTTTATTGATCATATCTTATGATTATTGATAAATATTGAATTGATATCTAGCGTCATCTCTTCATTTTTTTTCTGCTTTTATGATTAAATATAGTTTAGTCCAATGATGATTTTCCATATATGACCTATACATCAAAGTCTACTACTTAAAGATAAATTGAAAAATACAAAACTCATTGTATGATAAAAATGCTTCGAATATACTCAAGTAAGATTTTCTTTTTTTATCTTTCCCTCTTCTCTATTAAAAATTTGTTTTTTTTTTCTTCTTCTGTAGATCATTCAATGTTTCGATTAATCTATCGATCAATGTCATCCTTACCTACATATGAAACATTGAAATTAAGTCAACCGAAACCACATGTAACTCTTGTTGAATTAAATCGACCAACAAAACTAAATGCTATGAATAAACAATTATTCGAGTAGGAAATAAAATTTTGTTTTATATATTTCTTAATAATATAATATTATTTATTTGAAGTGATTTGAAAACATGTTTTGAACAATTAAGTATTGATAAGACATGTCGAGCTATTGTATTAACTGGTGCTGGTAAAGCATTTAGTTCTGGTAATTTTTTTTTTAATTTCATTAATTCAAAATTTTTAATTTTGAGAATTTTGAAGGTATTGATATTAAATATTTAACAGTCCTTGCTGTTACTGAACTTGGTCAAATTGATGATACAGGACGAAAAGCATTACATCTTCGACGTATGATACAACGAACACAAGACTGTTTAAGAGCAGTTGATAAAGTGAATAAAATAAAACATTCTTTTATTTTTTGATATTAAGTTTTGATTACTAGTGTGAAAAACCAGTTATAGCTGCTATTCATGGTCATTGTATCGGTGCTGGTGTTGATTTATCAGCTTGTTGTGATATTCGTTATAGTTCACGTGATACAAAATTTTCTATTAAAGTATTCATATTTTTCTTAAATTAACTATTGAATATATATATATTTGTTTTTATAGGAAGTTGATATGGGTTTAGCAGCTGATGTAGGTACTTTACAAATTTTACCTCAATCAATTACTAATCATAGTCTTTTTCGTGAACTTGTTTTTACATCACGAACATTTGATACTAATGAAGCACAACAAATTGGACTTCTTAGGTATACGCTTTTGCTATTGTTGAATATTTCATTCATATTTTCAATCTTCTGAATGAAAAAAAAAAAGAATAGAAGAAAATTTCATCAAAATTTTTGTCATTTGATCATCGTAGACTTATTTTTGACATTGAAGAGTAAAAAAATATATTAAAAAAACTAGATTTTATTTTAATTTTTAGTCGTATATTCGATACTCGTGAAGCTCTACTTGATGCCGCTATAAATTTAGCAAATGTAATTGCTCGCAAAAGTCCTGTAGCTGTACAAGGTTCAAAAATAAACTTAAATTATGCTCGTGATCATACAATAGATGATAATTTTAATTTTGTGGTATGTCAAAAAAAAAAAAAATAAAAATATTCATTGTAAAATAAGATTCTTATTTATTTGTTTTTTTTATAGAGTACATGGAATAGTAGTATGTTGATGACTGAAGATATTGTTAAAAGTGTTATGGCATCAACAGCATCAAAAGAACAAAGTAACAAAAATACATCAAATGAAGTTGAATTTGAAGATGTTTAAAAAAATAAAAATAAATAAATTGTCTTTTTATGATCTTTGTTTTTTCATATTTTTATGCGCAAAATTTCGCAGAAATTCTTAAATGACGTTGAATAGCTTGTTTTAAATTATGTTGAGAATTATTAGTAAAAGTAAAATTTTTCTTTTCAGTTAATCGTTCATATAATAAACGACTTTGTTCATCGAGAGATGTTTTTGTACGTTTTATAGAATTATGTCGATTAGCAAGACGATATTGATTATCTATTGTTAATGCTAATTGTCGACGATTTGGTTGATATTTTTTATTTTGTATATTTGTAAATAAGTCTTGAAAACTCGATGAAAATGAATCAACATCCGAATTTTCATTAGATGAATTTCGTTGTTGTAATGTTTGATCATGTTCTTTTTTCATGAAACTTGTATATTGATAGACTGGTTGACATGGATACAATTGACATTTTTGAGGAAAAAAACGACATGGGACTTCAGTAGAAGGTAATTTCATTGGTGATGTTGGACGATGTTGTAAACTTTCTAAGAATATAGAGATGATATATTAATATTGAAAAAGTGAATATCTAGATGAAATAGAGACTCTAGAATGCTTACGGATATACTTAAAAAGTTGTTTTTTTTTTTTTTGTATCTAGAAAATGTAAGATTAATTGGAAAAATTCCGAAATAGAGAAGCCTTATAATTTTTTTATTGTATTGCATACTTCTGAGAAAATTATCGATCAATTTTTATGAATCATAATTAATGATGTTTAGTGTAAATGTATAGAAGTTCTAAATTATGTATTTTATTTCTATACCATTATCTTTCAAAAATGTTTGAAATTGTTTTTGTTCAATTTGTTTTGTATTTGCTGATATTGAATTACGTTGTCGTTCATTTGTAATATGATTAATAGTAATATCAAGTAGTTTTTTTCGTTGTCGTTCAAGTTTTTCATCAGTTTTTAAACGTTTACAAGTTTGTTCATATTCATTAAATAAATTATTTAAATTTTGATGTAATTTTTCATCATATATTTTATTTAAATTTATTTGATGATGACGTGTTCGTCGAGATATTCGTTCAATACGTTTTAATTGTTCGGATGGATTTGTCCAGGAACTTTTTGCTAACATCACTTGTATTTTTTTTTAATTTTACTTTTAAAGAAAAATAAAAATACTATTGATGTATTTCAAACGATTAATATATAGAAAATGAAGAAATGAAAGAAAAGAAACTGACGTGTTTTATTCATATATTTACTTGTTAAAACTATAACAACAATTGACAGTAATGTTAAACTTTATTGTTATAGTGAAATAAGAAACCAAATCAATGCGATCATTGCTTAATGAATGTGTATGTTTGTAGACAAAAATAAAGTACTTTAAAAGTGAACAATTTAACATGCCAGTCATGTATAATTGGAATATTTTTTTGATTCGAATAAAAGCTTTTTTTTTTAATAAAATTTCAAATAAAAATTTTTTATACAAATATTGATTTAATTTAATAAACAATTTTTCTCTTAAACCATCTTAGAAAAAATGAAATTATAAAAAAAAAAAAGATTTTTATCGTACAAATAAATTAGTACTTTTCATTATATTAATTACAATTATACATTGGAAAATTAATGGTATATATATATACAGTTTCTTTTCTAGATGGTAATATGTTTTCATTATAATCGTTTGTTTTTATTCAAACATATTTTACCAAATATATTTTCATCATTAAAATGTTATTCTCGTACACCAACAGTAGTTCGTTATCGTGCACAATCAAAAATGTTAATTACACAAAAGATTGATACACCAGAATATCGAACATTATTAACACCAAATTTATTGAAATTAGCTGAAATATTTAAAGCAAATAAATATGAATTACGTGTAGCTGGTGGTGCCGTACGTGATATATTAATGGGTATTAATCCACATGATGTTGATTTTGCTACAACAGCAACACCTGAACAAGTTAAACAAATGTTAACAAAAGAAAATATACGAATGATTAATTTAAATGGTGAAAAACATGGAACAATAACAGCTCGTATTAATGATAAAGAAAATTTTGAAGTAACAACATTAAGAGTTGATGTTGCTACGGATGGAAGACATGCTGTTGTACAATATACTCAAGATTGGCAATTAGATGCTGGTAGAAGAGATCTTACAATAAATGCTCTATTTCTTGGTTAGTTTTATTTTTAAATTAAATTATTTACGAAATTTCTAGTAGAAAGACTTGTGTTACGATTAGTTTTTTTTTTTATACAACTCAAAGATGTTTAGTACATAAGTCATGGACACATCATACCGCTAAACAGTACTAGTTTTCAATTACTCGATTGGGCTCAAAGTTTTTTTTTTTTTTTTTATGAAAACTTTGATCAAAGTGGGTTGTGTATTTTTTTTTCTTCGAAATGTTATTTTTACGAAATTCAAGAGCCTTCAAAAATTTATTACCATTGAAAAAAAAATACACATTTTTATTTGATTTTTGTTGTCATTAGAAAAATTACTGCTCGAAAAAATGAAGTGTAGAAGGATTCTTGTGACTATTTTTGGCCTTGTAATCTTCGTACCCTCCTAAAACAGGCATTTTGGAAATTTGACTCCGTGACAACTTTTACTCTACTTATTAAGATGTATCTGTTTTGAAAGTTTCATAATGTTTTGTCTAACTATTTCTAAGGAATATCGGAAAAAAATTTCTCTTAATATCAGACAGTTCAAATCATATGTCATGTCTCATTAAATGAAATATTGAATAGTTATTTTGTTTTGTTTTTGAAAATCTCATTTAGAAAATAAATCTAAGAAAAAATACATATTATTAACCAAATTGAATTATTTAGATTTAGAAGGAACTGTATATGATTATTTCAATGGAATTGATGATCTCAAACATCGTCGTATTCGTTTTGTTGGTGATCCTATAGAACGTATTCGTGAAGATTATCTTCGTATTCTAAGATATTTTCGGTAAAATTTCCTTCACATAATATAAAAATGATTATTAAATATTTGTACTAAAAAAAAAGATTTTTTGGTCGTCTTGCACATGATAATGCACAACATGATGAAGCAACATTAATAGCAATAAGAGAAAATACTAGTGGTTTACGAAGTATCCAGAAAAAAAAGAAACTTAAGTTATAAGAGAATTGGTTTTTTGTTATCATTTAGATATTTCTGGTGAACGTCTATGGGTTGAACTAAAACGTATTGCTGAAGGACGTAATGCAGGTCCAGTATTAAAAGTAATGCTTGAACAGGATATTGGTCAATATCTTGGTATGATGTTTGTTTTTTTTTTTTTTCTTATTTCAATAATGGTTACTTTAGAATTCTCATAATAGGTATACCTTCGAATGCTGATTTGAATCAATTAGAAGAACATTGGAAAAAATGTCATCAAGCTAATCCACATGCTCTTACGATTCTAACAAAACTTTTTCTCACTATGGATGAAGTAAATAAATCAATGAACAATTTCTTTTTGTAAATTTTTTTTTTCTAATTTAGTTATCAAAATTTGAACAACGTATGAAATATTCCAATGATTGTCGTCGTTTATCACAATTATTAGTTACATATCGTGATTCAATATCTATTCTTGATTCATCATCAATTGATCCACTAAAACCATATAAAGACTTATTGATTGATTTATATTTATTTGATCCAAATATAAAAGAAAAAATAATTGAATTACTTAAATATCAATATTATCTAAATGAAGTTCAACAATTAATTGATTGGACAATACCAAGTTTTCCTATATCTGCTGGAATGCTTGCTTTAAAAGGTATTAAACAAGGACCTAATTATAAAGCAATTCTTCATGAACTTCGAGAAGCATGGAAAAAATCACATTTCAAAGCGAATGAAAATCAATTACTCGATGAAACTTTACCAACAGTTTTAAAAAATTTAACAAAAATAGAATCATCAATGATATCTAATCAGAAGACAACTGTTAATCCACCTGCATTTGCACTTCCGAAAAGACGTAAACATAAAGAATCGAGCTCAGATAGTTCTAAAAGAACTATTAGTACTTCATAGTAAGAAAGATTGTTTTTTGTTTGTGTTATTTTTTTCTTTTTTTAATAAAATTAAAAAAAGAACTTGTTTAACTATAAAGATGAAATAACAATCCAATAAAAATCGAATATTACCTACTTATAATAGATATTAAACAAATTGAGATAGATTATTAAATTCGAGCTTGTTTTGATCTCTATTATAAAACATAGTGAGTATGTCAAAAGCATTAGGATCAATACTTTTAAACTTCTTCTTTCTCATGTTTTTAGGTTGCTGCTAAGTTCACAAATTTTCTTTACAAATCATGATGTTACAGTATGTTATGTTGTGAAATGATGCTACCTGAGCAGATAAGCATGTCACTTTTTGTACTAATTTGGTATTAAAAATAGTGTGCCTGATTTACTATATAGTTTGTTCCTTTCGTACAGATTTTTGGCATCTAAATTTTTAATGGCAAAAAAAGATCAGTTTTTTTTTCAAAAATTGTGAAAAAATTTTGAGCGTTTAAACGCATTGAAAAACACAAATGAAACATCAAATTATATGCAATTTTCTTTTTTTACTATTTTCGAAAATTTTATTTTATGCGTTTATTTGTTATATTTTATAGATAACAATTATCTGTATTTCTCTTCTTGCTACAGTGATATAGACTCCTTTTTGCTATAGCTTCTTAAACTTAATTCAACACGCAGTTATATTTTACTTTCGTAACAGTAAGATCTGGCTCTATTTTTATTATCCACTCTTAATTTCTAAAGGAGACAATTACCAAGAAAGAAACTTGTATCTATATATATATTATTCAAATACACTTTTAGTGATGTAGTACTTTCAATCTTCCGTGTTATCTTGCTTACATTGTTTAATAATCACATCTTTGATCATATCTTGAATGCTAGTGACGTGCAACGACATAGAATGTATAGAAATAACAGATTTAAATTACTAATTAATCAAAAATGCATTTGAATAATATATATATACATAATTTTCTTTCTGGGTAACTGTCTCCTTTAGAAACTAAATGTGGAGAGTAAGAAAAGAGCCTGATCTTACCGACACGAAAGTAAAATATAACTACATGCTGAATTAAGGCTAAGATGTTGTAACAAAAAAACTCGATGTCGCTGTAGCAAGAAGAGAACGAATACGAAGTACAAGTATATTCATTATCTGATGAAGTACATCTTAATCGTTGTTAATTTGCATGAATGAAAGGACTGAATAACGAAAAACACTATCATATGACGCTCAATTTGAATACTCACGATACTCTCAAACGTCTGAATTTTCTGTAAACAAAACTTGTCCCTTTGAAATTTACTATTCCTTCATTATGCGAACCCTTATATGTGAAAAAAAGAATTCTGGCTCATCTATAGGCAAACTAACTCTTAGATAAAAATATAATGGCCTAACAATTCTTTCGCAACTATTCGACTGGATAGGAATAATTGGAAATGTCTCAAATACTTTTTCTTTCCATTTAACGTAAATGATTAAAAATAATTTTTTTTTATCTATGTATACTCACTGTTCATCTTGATCTTAATATTTATGTAGATAGCGAAAACGAATTTTTATCAAATAAATACATGGCTATTCATAATGCTGTTCATATAAACCTAAGCAAAAATATATAATGTTTTTCGATAAATAGTTCAATGTTCATATTGGTCTTGATATTGATCTAAATCAAAAAGATAAGTTTTATCAAAAGATACTTACTGCTCATTGTATTATTGAAGTTGATTTGAATAAGATAAATAAATAATTTTTATCTATTGTCACTAGTTATTGATTTTCATCTTAATATTTGATCTAAATATGAAAAAAAAATAATATTTTTTCTAAGAAACGACTTCCTGTTTATGCTAATATGGAGCATGATCTACACAAAGAAAACCATGAGTTCTATCAAAAAAATACTTACTACTCATTGTATACTTGAGGTTAATTTCAACAATATAAATAAAGTTTTTATCTATTAACACTAACTTTGGTTTCTCATCTTGAGGTTAATCTCAGTAAAAAGCTTATATTTTAATATATTTCGGACCGAAATATATTGTTGAAACATTTACAATACTAGCTTTCACTATATTATAGTAGTTTCTATCTAAAGAGCAGCTGATGTTCGAATTATGTAGTTAGTTGCATTGAAGTCAAAAAAAAAGATGAGCTTCACATATTAGAGATAATAAATTGGTACAGCTCAAGACAACCATAAAATTTTGACTTCGGAATGAGGTGTATATATATAGTTGTAGCGGAAAGTTTCCTCTATTACTCTATATATGTATTATCAGCTTCAATCACGTAATGTTCATATGCCAATAGAGAGCGCCACCTCTGCCTTGTTCATAGCAGGTTGCGTTGAAGTTGATGATCCCTATTCACGTATCAATAATATGTAATAAGACTTGATTGTAAACACATAATTTGATGGAAGAAGTTTTCTTCTAAAGATCTACATGTATTCCAGTGATGGGATCGGTTTGATTTGAAACTTTTCCAGTTGGATTCAGTTCGGTTCTAAATATTCAGAGCCGATTTCCATTCAAATATATATTTAAATATATTTAACTTTGTTAGAATGCTCTAACATACATCTTCGTTTCTCTCTCCCTCTTTTCTCTTCTACTTTCCTATTCGGCCGTGACAATTTTAATAAATTATCACTCTTTTCTTCTTTTCTAAACTCAAGGGCAGGGTGTGGGTGTAGGTGTGGGTGTGGGTATGGGTGTGGGCGTGGGTCTGGTGTGGGTGTGGGTGTTGATGATGTGAAGATTAACACCCACACCCACACCCACCCACACCCCACACCCACACCCACCCACACCCACCCCACACCCACACCCACACCCACACCCACCCACATACCCACACCCACACCCACACTCTTCATATCCTCATTTAATTATTTCACAAGGATCATGTTGTTTATTCATGACTATTAGATCATTTTTTATTTATGACATCATCTTTTATAATGTATCATTTCAAATTAAAATTATCTTTCTATGATTTTGTTCATTATATGATATGTAAGTAAAATCAAAATGACCTCTACTTTATTATATATCTAAACAAGTCAGTCTCAATAACATGATGTCATTATCTTTGAAAGTGATGCTTATATTTCGAATATGAAAATAATTTATATTTGAGTATTTTAATCATAATGTCATGATGTTTTTATTTTAATTGTCTTTCAAATTTTATAAGATTTAAGTATTCAGTTTTAAATTGTTAAGTGTCAACTAAATAGAAAATTGAATCGTTTTTCAAAATGAATGATAAGAATTAATTGTTGAAATTCAGATTAAATAAAACAGATGAATATTATTCTATTTCTTCTTTTGTTTTTTTTTGACATTATGCTTATCTTATTTTTGTAGTTGTGCATGTCTTTATTATAAGGAACTTCTATATAAGGTACAGCCAAAGTCAATGCTATATCATGCTTACTTTGTGTATGACATCGAAGACAAGAATGAAGGCAGTAAAAATTTTAAAGAATGTCTTGGTCATGATGGTTTTGCATGTGTCAATATTATGATCTTATTCATTATGAATCCAACTTGGTCAATTATAACAAAAATATTTGTGGGATTAGGATGCATAGTCTCTATACAACTCAGTTGTTATGGTACAACACCTATTGGACATATGTGGCATTTAGGTGTTATGTCTAGTTACCCATGTTCTGTTGTTGGTTTTTTTATGTGTACTATAATTATTAATTGGACTATGAATTATAGAACTATGGCTTGTATTGATATATAAATTTGTATCAAAGGATTTATTTTTCAATAAATATTAATGATATTAATCCCTTTTACCAACATATTAATAAAGTAATTATTTTATTATTGATATAAAAATTCATGATTAAGTTTTATTTTCTTTCAATAATAATTTTGAATATAATAGAATAGCAAAAAATCTATTGTATATGATATCTTTATTAGTTTATTTTCTTCACTCTATTTAAATCAAAATATCTTCTGCTAATTATAACATTATCTAACAAAAAAAAACAAAAAGAACTTTTAAAGTGAATTCGAATTTTTCGTTGGTGCAAGCCGTTTATTTTCCTATTGTTGATATTTATTCATAAGAATTAAAATGGATTATCATTCTTCATGTTACACATACGTCGATAGGACGTGTTTTCTTTTCTCTCGTCATATATATATTCAAACGTTATATACGTAATTTTTTTTTTCTTTATCTTCTGATCACGTGTTCATTTTGTTCTCAAAACGTGACCGGAAAATCACATCCTAACTAATTAAACAAGATCGTTAGGCTTGTGATCCTGGTACCTAGTCATGTTAGACAATAGATATAACATGATATGTCCCCTCCCCTTGGTTTCACAACCCTCTTCTATAATCTAAAACACGAACGTTCAAAATGATATTTCAATTGATGATCAAGATACACCAATCCCCACCTCACCTCCACTTAATCAACAACATTATGATTCTCAACATCAAATTTTTAATGAACAAGGTCAAGAGATCGGATCATTGAATGTTAATAATAATGATGAATTTATATTAGTTAAAAGAAACAAAAAGAAAATTAAAACAAATCATCAACATTATCAACATTATCCACAACATCATGTATTGCACCAACATCATCACCAACCTGACGCACCTACAAACAAAAATATTATTACAACTAATACATCACTTCAACGTAATTCTCTTTTACCAAGTACTAGTCCAACATATTCACATAATCATGAAATGGATATAAAAAATGTTATTTCGGAACAAGCTATTCGATTTGCACAAACACGTTTTCCCTTCCCACCCATCATTATCAAATTTGCACAAGATGTCAACGAAAATGTTATTATTAAAAGTATCGAAAAACATTTCAACGAACACTTTTATATGGATTTATCAATTGCTGGACACAGATTGAAAGGTAAACGTGATCTCATTTTGTTTGCAGGTAACAGAGAATCATTTGTTTTACTTTATGATGACAAAAAATGGCCTCAACATTTAAATTCTATTGTTTTTGAAAAAGCTGGTGCTAAACATCTTCCTGCTCAATTTTCTATAATATTACGTAATGTTCCAATTGATATTAATATGGATGAACTATTGGTGAACATAAAAAATGATTATCCTGATGTAGTTAAAGCTTTTCGTATTTCAAATAAAGATGAAAAACCAACAACTTTAGTACGACTCGATATTAAGTGTATCAAAATTATTGACGAACTATTGAAGAAAAAATTTATGTATGTTAATAATATTAGATATACAGTTACTGAATATATTAGCCCCGCTAAAGTGCTTGTCTGCACGAAATGTTATCAAATAGGTCACTTTAGAGGTGTATGTAAAAGTGAACTTCAAATATGTAGAACTTGTGGTACCAGTGTAATGAATGTTAAAGATCATCAATGTGATAAAATTAAACGATGCATTCGTTGTAATGGTCCACATGAAGCAAGTGATAATCATTGTCCATTAATAAAAGCATACAGAATAGATTTAACAAGATCGTTATTATCAACTTCTTCTAACATTACAGGTATGAACCAAAATGTACAACAAAATTATATATATAACAAAAATGATTATCCTCAATTGAATGGTAATAAAGATGGTCATCCATGGTATAATGATTCACTTACAGCTACTAATCGACGATTAGACGAACTTGTACAGAGGATGGACAAGTTAAATCAAAATATCAATCGGATAATGGATTTTAATAGTAACTCTTACAATCAACACATTCAAATTCATCAGTTAATTGTTAAACAAGATCATGATATTCAACTACATCAAATAGATTTATCCTTTCAACATGATTTTATTAGCCAGTTCGTATCACCAAGATGTCAATTGATGCTTGATGTTATTCCGACGATGATAAAAAAAAATCTAATAAATGATAAAACAACATTAGGACAATCATTATTATCCACGTGTGAAAAATTAGGCAATGAATTACCACAATGGATGAAACGATATGCTGATAATGAAAACATTAAAATGAAATTAAAAAATGATTTTATAGAACAAAAACAAAAACACCTAGAAACATCGAATCCCGGTAATAATTCTCAACCAATCCCCCAACTATAGTTAAGGCAGAGTTTTCTAAACTTTCGCCTTATGCTTCTTCATTTTATCCCACTGTTAGAAACAAGAAAAAAGGATTTGACATAGATTATGCTCTTTCTCTTTCTTCTTCATTCTTGTCGGTCTTTGATTTTCATCTCTTATCAGATATTGTAAAGGAATGGTACACTTTTCCTACGCTCCCCGCCTGCTTCTCAGCCTGGAAGAATTATGATCATCCGTGTTCATATTCTCCTATTTCTAATTTTAACTTCCTATTATTCAACGTGCGAGGATTAGAAGCACGCTGGCATGAAGTTCTTCTTCTACATGAGAAATACAAGGTAGACTGTCTGATATTAGTAGAAATAGGAGCAATCAAATATTCGTCAATACAAAAGTTCTTCCCCAACCTTAAGATCTTTTATCAAAAAGGGGAAAATGCCTGGGGAGGTGTGGTAATATTGATTCGAGATAGCATACCTTGCGAGCGAATACGGTGTAACGTTCCAAACGTATGTGTTGTAGACATAAAGTCTGATAAATCATTTAGAATTATTGGTGTATATGCACCCGGTAGCAAATCATGGAAATGGGAAGATATGTCGCAATTTGCTACTGAGTCTTGCTGTTTTGTAGGTGACTTCAATGTTGATATTGAAGATAAATATGATATGACAGCAGCAAGAAATCTTCTAAACTGGTCTGATTCCCTATCACTAGGTCCAATACTTCCCTCCTCCCCAACCTCCCAAGCAGACAGACATATCGATTTTTCACGTTTTTTGAACAAAAGTAGCAACTTTTAGTCAAATTTTATGCGTTTTTTTCGCTTATGTCAAAAAACGCACAAAAAATCGTATTTTGTCGATTTTTTCGACATTTCCTTTTTTTTCCACTTTTTTCTACTCCTTTTTCAGCCAAATTTCGTCAAATTTATGTATAAAAGTGGTTGAAACGTTATTTCTAACGAAAAACGCCCATTGTACCTCAAAACTTTGAACTTTTGCGTGTAAATGAGATACTTTTTTTTTATCGAAATTTTTTCTGACCAACTTTTTTCACGTGCACAATACACATAATCGTATGCCTTCTGATATTTTTGAAGAAATATTTTTGTATTAAGTTCTGTCTCTAGCTTATTTCTGAAGATGTTTGTCTTCTTCATGCTCGAATGAATTAATGGAAAACAGTGAACTTGTCTCAGCATGATAAATATTTATTTCCTGGCGAGAATATGTGAGAATATTTTTTTATTTATGTACTTTCAATTGTATTTATAAAAATAAAAAATGTACAATTATTTTCTTGTTCAAATTTAAAAACTAATTTCCATAACAAATGGGTATGTGAAAACAACTTGAATTCCGATGTATCAATTAATTCTTCATAAACCACAGATATGTTTCTAAATAATTCTTTCCGTAAAAGAAATTCATCATAATGAACCAGATTTGCAGGCATAACAGATTGTATATGTTCGCTTTCATTTATTATAGCCATAATAAAACCAATACTATTCGTATTATTATCACGATAAAGTATACAAGAATCATTAATCTTGCTATTGATCTCACGCGTATAGACAGAGTATTTAATTTGGTTGATCCAGCAGGCTACATGTGTGGTGAACCGAGTACGCATATGATTTAATAAAAAACAGTTCAGATTGTTGTTATTGATAAATGTTATTGGTTTACCACAACGAATATCAATATGATTATTTGCAAAGTTTTCATCTTTCATAATTCTTGGAAGACTGAAGAAAAGTGGAAAGTACCATGGCTTATATAAGATCAGAAAAAGAAAAGATAAGACACAAACACAGAGCGCTATCCTTTGTTTACGACAGCGAGCCTCGGCATGTGATAAATGAATGGAAACATCACGATGAAAAAAGATAGATGAAATAATGTTCAACTGTTATGCTTTCTGTCTTGAAGTGATATCACACCTCGACGATATACATGACCGACGAATATGAAATAATGAAAAACAGCGATTGGATCAACATAATAATACAGAATGATTGTTCATTGTAAATTTAGACGTTCAAGCATAAATAAAGAAAAAAAAGTCGGATGAGAAAAGTGTACGTGTGATCGGATCCATTTCATTGTTGTTTGTCCGCAATATCTCGATTTCATTTTTTAAAACTATTTAGTTCGATGATGACAAAAGAACAACATAACTGATTAAAAAGTTTAAATAATTATATACTCTAAGAAATTCTATCATAATGCTATAGCTCGATCGTTTTACGGAATGAAGATTCCAATGTTTTTTTCTACACGCATACATGTAATCAACACATGTTCACATTAATAATAAACTCAGACATATAGCGTCAAAAATTGAATGAAAATAGTTTGAGTTTTGGTTAAGGAAAAACTGTTCATTTTCAATCAGTAAAATTTTTTTAAAGAATAGTCAATTTTTCTCAACTCGATTTTGAGTTTCATAGTTATTGTTGACTACAGAGCAGAATACATGTATGTTTCTGGAGGAAGACTTCTTCCATCAAGTGATGTGCGTACATTCAAATCTTATTACATATTATTGATATGTGAATAGGGATCGATCAAATATAAGCTTTTTACTGAGATTAACCTCAAGATAAAAACCAAAGTTAGTGTTTCTAGATGAAAACCATTTATTTACATTGTTTAAATTCACCTCAAGAATACAATAAGTAGTAAGTATTTTTTGATAAAACTCAATGTTTTTCTTTGTTTAGATCATGCTCGATATCAATATAAACAGTAAGTCGTTTCTCAGAATAGAAATTGCTTTTTGTTATTTTGATCAAATCCTAAGATGAAATTCAATAGTGATAATAAATACAAATCATTTATTTACATTATTTAAATTAACTTCAACAATATAAAGAGTAGTATCTTTTGATAATACGTTTGTCTTTTTTTGTAGATTACGCTTCATATCAACATAAACAGTAAGTCGTTTTGTAGAAAAAAAAAATTATTTTGTTTTTATATTTAAATTAAATCTCAAGATGAAAATCAATAGTGCTAATAAATAGAAATCATTTATTTGTATTATTCAAATTAGCCTCAAGAATACAATGAGCAGTAAGTATTATTTGATACAACTCAAGTTTTCCTTTGTTTAGATCACGCTCCATATCAACATAAACAGTAAGTCATTTCTCAGAATAGAAATTGTTTTTTTTTTATTTTATTTAGATCAAATCTCATGATAAAAATCAACAACTAGTGACAATAGATAAAAAATATTTATTTGTATTATTCAAATTAACTTCAATGATACAATGAACGGCACGTTTTGATAAAACTTTTTTTTTTATTTAGATCAATATCAGGACCAATACGAACATTAATTATTCATCGAAAAACATTATATATAATTTTTTGCTTGGGTTTATATGAACTGCACAATGAATAGCAATGTATTTAGTTTCATTCATGCAAGTTAACAACGATTGCGATGTGTTTCATCAGATCATGAACATACTTATACTTCGTATTCGTTCTCTTCTTGCTACAGTGACATCGAGTTTTTTTGTTACAACATCTCAGCCTTAGTTCAGCATGTAGTAATATTTTACTTTCGTAAAAGTACGATCTAGCTCTTTTTTACTCTCCACCTTTAGTTTCTAAGGAAGACAGTCACCTAGGAAGAAACCTATATATACTATTCAAATGCATTTTTTATTAAGTACTAAGTTAAATCTGTTATTTCTATACATTCTATGTCGCTACACGGCACTAACATTTAAGATATAATCCAAGATGTGATTATTGGACTAAGTAGGCAAGATAACGCGGAAGCTTTAACGTACTACATCACGAAAAGTGCATTTGAATAATATATATATCAGTTTCTTTTTGGATAATTGTCTTCTTTAGGAACTAAGGGTGGATAGCAAAAATAGAGCTAAATCTTACCTTTACGAAAGTAAAATATAACTGCGTGCTGAATTAATTTTGAGAAGTTGTAGCAAAAAGTCTATATCACTGTAGCAAGAAGAGAAATATAGATAATTGTTATATATAAAATATTACAAATAAACGCACAAAATAAAATTTTCGAAAATAGTCAAAAAAAAAATTGCATATAATTTGATGTTTCATTTGTGTTTTTCAATGCGTTTAAACGCTCAAAAATTTGTCACTATTTTTGAAAAAAAAAGTGGCCGTTTTTTGCCATCAAAAATTTAGATGCGAAAAATCTGTACAAAGGGGACAAACTATATAGAAAATTAGACACTTTTTTTAATACCAAATTAGTACAAAAAGTGACATCATTGTCTGCCCGGGCTCCCTTCGTTCAGAGCGTACAATCGATTATGCTTTTACTAAGGGAATCCCTTTATCACTACAAGCAACCGATGCTAACACAACTAGTGATCACAAACCTATCATAGGAGTGATCACCCACGACTATAACGAAAATACGATAGCTAGCAGCACCCATTGGAGAGTATTCAATGTTTTCCTTTCCCTAGTCTCCGATTTCTGGAATCAGCAATGGGAATACCCCAGTTATGAAGACAATTACACAAATTTTGTTATCTTTCTTAATAGATTGAAAGCCCGTTGCACCTCATACTTTCCAATTAAAAAATATCGGGCTGCCATTCCCAAAGACTTACGACAAAAGCTCTCGTATGTAAGAGCTCTTTCCTTTCGGCACAAAAGAACAGGAGACTGTCTACTATACCAAAAGATCAAAGAGTTGAAAAGGAATAATAAACAAGAACTTATGACCTTACGACTAAATCAGCTGAACACAATAATGAAGAATCGAAATGCGCCCAATTCATCATCATCCTCTACACCCTTTTGGTCTAAGCTAAGAAAGAATTTTAAAAATTGTAGTTCTCTAAATGCTTTAATAGATGATAAAGGTGCAATAATAAAAGATGTGAATACTATGCTCGAGATGGCTGCTTTGCACTATGAGAACTTATTTACTGAACCACAAATATATCGCCCTCATCCGTACGTAGACAGTCCTGAGATTTTATGTGATAATCACGATGA